TCCTGACAAGATCGCCTTGAGGCGTCTATCAACGCTTTTTTCAAGGCCTGCTCCGGTACGGAACTTTTGTGTATATTGCACAGGGGAAGAAGAAGCCACCGCGCACTCATCTGGTAGACGTCCCCGCAGTAGGATTCGATCGCGGTCAGTCCAGGCCTCGCGGCTGGGCCTACGAACGTTGTCTGAACTGGGGCATAATGAGAAATGCGGCGTCCTCTGCAACACCTGCCATGTGCCACACAATACACTTCTATGCCCCTTTCGTGGATACACGGCCATACCAAAGAAGAAGAAGCTATAGTAGACCGTTCCCTCATCATAGTATTCATATTCTTTTCTGTTGCGCCGATTGGTATGTATCCATATTAAATATCCATACCAACTCATTTTGTAAAACTTTCTCTCTCGTCGGCCCGGAGTTGAGATAAAGTCTTGTTGTACTATGTTTTACTCGCTCTAAAGGGCCCATCTCCTTGCTTTGTGTGCCTGCCCCTATATAAACCTTCACTGAACCACTGATACAGCAGGTTCCTAGGGTACCATTTCGTACCTCAAACACTTCATCTCGCGTACGCAGCACCTTGATGGCGTTACCGTACACTAGTACAGGGCGGTTCTCTAGCATCGCATAAGGTGGCGACTGATGTAATCGATATTTTGGAAACACAAGTCCTTCGCAAGGCTATAGCAGAGTATCTCACTTGACCGTTTGCATGTGGATGTTGTTTTCAGCTTGCTCCAATGTACAAAAGAGCTACGGTTTCACGCTCGCAGTTGTTTCGATTAGAGCCTGCCAAGAGTTGCAAGAAAGATGAGTTATTTGACACGAATAGGAAGCAATGGAGTTACGTTGATGATAAAAAGAAAATATATGTAAGTTTCGCTTAGTAATGTTAGATATGAAATAATCAAATGCGAGCATTGATCTTGAAAAGCGCTAGTCCTCCCGTTCATTCTTCTTATGGTTATTCAGCTGCATTTAGTTGACATAAAAAAAGTATTGATAGGGAGAGAGATACGGGTAAAGAATTAACGAAGAAAGCTCGTGAAAGTATGTGCTTCAAAGCTCATATTAGCTGCTTAATGGTTTAACTCTCTTCTAACAGAAAGAAAAGAGCCTTACAGAGCCTTTTTGATTAGTGAGCAAATTCAGTATAAAAAACCGGAAATCTGAGCTAAATGCTATCAATTCACTCGTCATCTATCTGCATCAGTTGGGCGTTACATATTTCTATATACACAGCTGCATGTACAAGGAATTTATGCTCTTCATAGTATCCCGCCGCTCCCTCTTCAATATAATACTTGACAGGTATGACATCAGGCGTGCGAGCAACAGTTTCCGCTTCGCCTGAAGGAAAACATCTTTTTTGGGAATCAATGTATTACTACAGCGCATTCTTAGCAGCTGGAAATTTTCACATTCTAAAAAAAATAATCCACATTTTTCCAACAGTATTTGTTTACATCTAATGTTCCTGTGTAAGAACTTATGTTCAAGCCTTTGAAAAGGATTTGAGAGTGGACAGTGGCTTGTCTGCGTCAAAAAATAGAGGAAACCTTTTGATTGCTCGCTAATGTCGCAAAAGAATGTGAGAAAGTTGATGAATATATAACTTGTTCTATATATATAAAGTACAATGTATGTGTGTATGTGTGTATGTGTGTATGTGTGTATGTGTGTATGTATGTGTGTATGTGTGTATGTGTG